TGGCCTGAAAAGGTTGAATCTCTGGAAGCGGAGACTTGCAGGTGAGTTTGAAATTCTCAGATTAGTAATTGGTAAAAAAAAAAAAAACATAAGTCTCTATTTCTGAGAGAAATCAGTGGAAGAATGTTTATTCTACTATAAGAGCTAAGAAGGCTTGCTATTCATTATAAAAACACTATACCTGGGACAGGATGAAGCACCACACTATCAGTGGACCGAAGTGGTCTGCTCATGCGCACAGGACTTGGTTAATATTTATAAGCCTGACTCTCTCTGGCACCCTGGAGAATAGGAAAAATTAGTTGTAATTTTATCCTCAAAAACATAGTGAATAGCAGTCCACAGAACTGTGGGAAAAATTCACAAATCATAAACCTGATAAGGAACTAATACACAGAACATACAAAGAACTCCTAAACTTCAACAACATAACAACCCAATTAAGTAATGGGCAGAAGACATAAACCGACATTTCTATGAAGAAGGTACACTCACGGCCAATGTGTACAGGAAAAGAGGCTAAATATCACTAAACAGTAGAGAAGTATATATTAGAACTATAAGGAGAAGCAACACAAATAAGGATGACTACTTTCTAAGGAAATAAAGAAAGAAACAAGTATTTCTGTGATGTTTAGATATCAGAGCCCTCGCACTTTGGCCATGGTAATGTGACACAGTGTAACTACTGTGGAACTGTATATTTAAAGGTTAAAATAATAATTTTTATATCATATTTGACCACATTAAAATTTATGTTAGATTATGCTTCTGGAAAGGTTATCAATTTAATCTTAAGTAGAAATAAGATTACAAATAGAAATAGACAATGACTGGGTCAGTTTTATCAAAAAAGTCAAAATATGCATACCAAAAGCTTATGAGGAAAAGGATTTGTATAAAGATGATCTGTTTTCCCCTGAGAGGTATTTTCTATACTGAATATGTATTTTTTATTTTAATTTACATTTTATTTAATTTAAAATTAACTTTATGCATTTCCTTTTCCAACACAAAACCATGCATGTCAGTCAAGACAAGGATATTACTATATACATTATCATCAGCAAATTACTTTCCATTTTTTGTCAATTAAGCATAGTTTTACCTGTTTTTCCCTTCCCCTCCCCCCATCCCTTTCATGCTAAACTTTTTTTTCACATTTTATTGATTCACAAAAGATCTTAAAATATGGACAAAGCTAGAATCTGGTGACAGGTGCACTGTAATTTTCTTCTGAAACAATTTTTTTCCTCTCTCTGCATTCCCCCTTTTACTAAAGAGAGGTATAAACTAACTTATTTGCAAAAAAAAAAAAAATAGGTTAATTTAAACTTGGTCTGTTATTTGCACAAAGCCCCATAAGAATTCAATTTCTGATGAAGGCAACAGATATTATTGTATTATTGAACTTATGCAAATAACCATTCTGCCACAAAATAAGAATGCTCACAAATATTTTTCAAAGGGGTCAGGAACGGAGAAAAGTTTATGCTTTAATTAAAAAAAATCTTTAACAAATTGCTGAACCCAACAACTCAGAAGAAAACAAAAATCCTTAAATCTGGAACACAAAGCATAGAGGAAAGTCAGTAATGTTTAGGAAAAAGTCATAGTCACCAGGTCAGTCTCATGTAATCTCTTTTGAATTTGCAGTGTTACTATAGTCTGACCTTTCCGTTAACATTCAACATTTTTATTAATATTTCATTAAGCTGACCTTTCTTTTGGTCATTTATTGTTCTCTTATTTGTCTGTCTTTGGTTTTCCTGGTATAGTACATCCCAGAGGGGATGGTCACGCCGCAATCTCTTCTCCTCCATTCTCCTCTTGGGATCTTGGGCACGCATGCACACACGCCTGGCATGAGTTTTAAGCCACTGGGTTTAAGCCACCGGATCCGGGACGCAAACCGTGGTCGACTACGTGGAAGTCCAGCGACATAGCCATTATGCTAGCTGCTGCTTCCCTAATTAGTTTTTTTTTTTTTTCAGGCTTTCTTTATCTGAGAATGTTTTTATCTTTTCTTCTCACATGACAGATAATCTTGCTAGATACAATATTTTTGGTTGAAATTGTTTTTCACTTAACACTTTGAATGTATTTTCCCATTCTTTCCTTGCTTGTATTGTTTCCAACAAGAGGTCCGATGTTAGCATGATGGGACAATCTCTGAAAGAACTTGGCCTTTTCTCTCTTGCCAATTTTAGCATCTTGTCTCTGCCTGTGGTTTTTGTCAATCTGGCTATAATGTGCCCTGAAGATCTTCCTGAGTTGATTCTATGTGGGGTCCTTTGTAATTCTTGGATCTGGATATCTGAATGCCTCTCTAGGTTTGGAAAGTTTTCTTGCAGGATTTCATAGATTAGATTATCAATGCCCTGATTCGTTTCTTAGCCTTCTGGAATACCGATTATCCGGATGTTTGGGTGTCCAATGGTATCTAGTATTACTCATATATTACTCTCATTTTTGGGGGGTTATTTTCTCAGTATTTTTGGTGAATTTTTCTAGGTCAGAGGTTCTATCTTTTACATCTGAGATTCAATCATCTTTATGCTCTAGTCTGCTTTTAATATTTTCAAGGGAAGTTTATTTTTTTGGAGAAGTTTTTTTTTTTTTTTTTTTTTTTTTTTTTATTTTTTTGCTATAGGGCATGTGCGCTTGCCAGACAGACAGAGAGAGACAGAGAGACAGAAAGCGAGAAATCACCCCCCAGGGGGGATGGTCACACTGCAATCCCTTCTCCTCCATTCTCCTCTTGGGATCTTGGGCATGCATGCACACACGCCCAGCGTGAGTTTAAGCTGCTGGGTCCGGGACTCAAACTGCAGTCCACTACGTGGGAGTCCAGCAACATAGCCATTACGCCAACTGCTGGTCCCTCAAGGGAAGTTTTGATTTTATGGATTACAGCCTTCATCTCTAACAGTTCTGTCTGATTCTTTTTTATTTCCTCTTTCAGATCGTGGAAGAACTTCCTCACCTCCTGGAACTCATTGTCTCTTTTCTCCTGCATCTTCTGGAGTTCATTGTCTCTCAGCTCTTGCATCTCTGTTAGCTTTGTCACTATGAAAATCCTAAAATCTTTATCTGACATGTCCAGGAATTCCACTGTACTGTCTGGGGATGATGAAGAGTTGTTCTTTTCCCTTGGGGGAGACATATTTTCTTAATTTCCCATATTTCTTGTGCCTCTGCGATGGTGGTTTCTGGTCATCTGATGGATTATATGTTACTTCCTATCTTCTGGTTTTTCGCTGGGTGTTGGGTCAGAAGGAGGAGTTTGAGGCAGAGGCTTTTTCTGGTTAAAGGGGCAGGGAAAGCCCACCTCAGATGCACATGGATTCTGGCTTTTTGCTGGGTGTTGGAAAGCTGAATATGATTTTTTATTTTGCGGTGGGTTTGTGTGTGAGTGTTGCATTCTTCCACATTTACTATGGATTAAACAGTAATCACTAAACTAGAGGATGGTTGCTCTTGTCCCTGTAGGAAATTTTAACAAACTCTAGTCCTAAAACAAAAGCAAAAATAGACTGAAAATTACATGGGTCTTGCTATAAACTTCTTTTCAAGAGCCACAAATATAATGCATTAGTCAGAGTACTTAGTTGCTGGGAATACTCCAGAGAAGCGACCAATCCTTCTCTGTGCTGCCCCAGGGCATTCAGCTGACCTCCCTGTGGGTCCTCTGATGCAAGCATTATCGACCTGGATGCCGATTAGGGGCTTTAAAGCCTGAAGGAGACTCAACTGGGTCAGATCCCTGGACTTCAGCAATCTTGGAAGAGCTGTGTCTATGGAGTGAGCCCTAGCATCTGTGAGTGCTGCAGGTGAGCACCTGGCCAGGCCTAAAAGACATAGAAACAGGAACAAGACAAGGGAAATCTGCAGGTACATGGTCCTGAAGGTTGCTATAGCCTCTAGAAAGGACAGGATCCGCCTGGAGCTCTGCCAGCCTTGATGTGGGATAAAAAGGAGCGTGGTTGGGGAACTCAGAGAGGAACCTAAACCTCTTGGGGTCTGAGGTTGTGCAGGTCAGTCAGCATCTAGGCCTGGCTGTTCTGAAAGGACAGCTCTCCCTCTTCCCCCCATACCTAGATCACGGTGCCCTTTGTTCCCTGTACCAACCAAAACCTTCCTGACCATAGGAGGCATATGAGGAGGATGAGAAAAGGTGGCCCATTGTCTGCCTGCCCAGAGCTTGAAATTCCTGGCCCAGGATGATCTCAGGGCCCCAGGAGCTGCCTGCTCCTGTCTAGGGGATGGCACAGGGGGTTCTGGCTTCTAGCAGTGCAGCCAGCTCCTTCCATAGGCTAGGGAAGTGAGAGAAGGTATTGGCAGCACAGACCTAGTAGGTACTGGTGAAAGAGAATGGTAGATTCTCTACTTCCAAGTTTCTATTGGGAAGGCATTCCTAAAGGTTTCACTCAAGAAGAGGTTCCAGACCACATCTCATCGCTGGCTTACATAAGCCAGAGAAAAGGTATAGAGTGGCCTTCTAGCTGTTCAGGATTTCTTTACCTCTATTTGGAATAAAATGTCTTCACTACTGAGGTTTTGCATAGATGACCTCAGTACCACTGGTACAAAACCTAGACCAATCAACTATTTCCTATTTTCCTAGTTGTGTCCTTAAGCTTCTGATTCTTAAAGTGCCTTCACCCTTTCTTCTAATCTCAACTGTCACATTCCCTTTTTGTATTCCCAAGGCTCTGGGCAGGATGTTTTCCATTTTTGTAGCTCAGTCAATGTCTCTCTTTGGCCTGTTATTTATTTATTTATTTATTTATTTATTTATTTATTTATTTATTTATTTATTTGCCAACCACATCCTCAGATGCTTCCATACTTTTTCTTGGGTGAATATATGGGGGAATAGTTTAGTATTTTTATTCTGCCATAGTGGTCTTAATTTCTAGGAGAAGAGTAATATGGCTTTTTGGAAGGATTAGTCTTACCAGAGACTCATCTCTTTCCCCTTTCTAGGTTTTAGAATCATGGATCCTTCACTCTTCTTGACCATCCTTTGTTTAGGAATAGCCTCAGCTGCTCCAACACATGATCAAAGTTTAGATGAGCAATGGAACCAGTGGACTGCAGAGCACGGGAAAGTATATAGCACGGTTGGTAACATCCAAAATCGCCCAGAGGGGCCCAGAGGAAATCCTCCTTGCTATTGAAAGTTTACATCTACAGGGAAGCTTCTGGAGGCCATCTATTACCAAAACAGTAATTCAGTAGCACCCATTATAAGCACAATATAGTCACCTATCCTGGAGAACAGCACCCCAAATTACAAAATCTCTCCTGAGCATGCTTTCTCTTTCATCTCTGTCTGCAAATCCATTGGCGAGCATGGATTCAGCTTTAAGTAGAAATAAAGACCAATCATATATTTGCATCTAGGGTGAAGAGAGCTTGAGGAGAGCAGTATGGGAGAAGAATCTGAAAATGATTGAGCAGCACAATCTAGAATACAGCCAAGGAAAACATACCTTCACAATGGGAATGAATGCATTTGGTGACATGGTGAGTCTGGAACGCTTACCTCTGTGCTTCCTCTCCTCAGTTCTTTTCTCAAATAATCTCTTGCTTTTCATCAATTATTCATTTTTTTCCTTGAAGACCAATGAAGATTTCAGGCAGATGATGACCGGCTTTCAAAATCAGAAATACAATAAGGGGGAAGTGTTCCAGCCACCTCAGCCTCTTGAGGTCCCTGAATCTGTGGACTGGAGAGAGAAAGGCTATGTGACTCCTGTGAAGAATCAGGTATGATGGTGTTAGGGGCAGACCTCCATCTCCACAGGAAGTCAAGATGGAATTGGTATGTTTGCCTTGGTGCATGGTGAAACAACGTGCAGTTTGTATATTTTAAAGGGCTCAGATATGGGAATTATTGCCAAAGTCTTGCTCTGAATTTTTGTGCATGACAACTTTCAATTTTCTTTCCAGCATCGTTGTGGTTCTTGTTGGGCTTTTAGTGCGACTGGTGCTCTTGAAGGACAGATGTTCCGAAAAACCGGCAAACTCGTCTCACTGAGTGAGCAGAACCTGGTGGACTGTTCTCAGCCTCAACACAATTCAGGCTGTAAGGGTGGCTTGGTAATTAAAGCCTTCCAGTATGTTAAGGACAACGGAGGCCTAGACTCAGAGGAGTCCTATCCATATGAAGAAATGGTAAATGGCATTCCTTATGGTGCTGTTACTTCTTCTTTCAGAATTAAAGTTAGGCAGAGATAATGAACAAATTTTTCAGAATTCAAATTTTATATAGTCGAATCTGTATATGTGAGCTTTCAGTACAGCTATTATAAATCATTAGCCTTGGTGCAGTTCTTTGGTTAAATGGTTAACAAAAGTTAAGAATGTTTTATTATGTAACGTGGTAAATATGTACACCTGTCTACACACAACACAGACTTTTTCATGGTGGAAAATTTCTTTTGGGTAGGCAGACCTAGGCAGTCTCATTGAAAAGACACAAACTTATTTTCCATTTCAAATCAATAGATATTTGTCAGTTTGTTTTATTTCCTGGGATGACTTATATCAGTGTTGACTTGGAAATCCTAAGCTGTTAACTGATCAGTGCTGTGGTTTTAACACATGTTCTCCAGAAGGCAACCGGCAATAATCAAGTCTCTTTCACTTTTACCTTTAAAAGGAGAGCACCTGTAGGTACAGTCCCGGGAATTCTGCTGCTACTGTGACTGGCTTCAAGCATATCCCTGCTGAAGAGAAGGCCCTAGAGAAGGCAGTGGCATCTGTGGGACCTATTTCTGTTGCTATTGATGCGCACCATCATTCTTTCCAGTTTTATACAGGAGGTAAGCATTTTTCCTTATGGAAATTTATACATAAATATTGAAACCCACTATGAAGCAGCAGAATGATGGATTCCTTTGTGTGTAAAATAGAACATAAATATTTGGATGCATGTTTTCACATAGCCATTTATTCTGTACACCCAATATTTGTATGTTTCCATTTGCCATTACTTTAAACATATTTCCATGAATATAAGTACTTAGTCATTTTAATAGCTACATAATTCATAGTCTAGCTTGATTTATTTAAATTCCTCCAAATGTTGGATTCTTAAAATTTTTCTGAAGGTCTTTTTAAAGTTTATTCATTTCTTTATCCATGAATGAGAGACAGAAAGAGAGAGAAAGACAGAATAAGACAGGCACACCAAAGAGGGTCTTCATGCTGCAGTTCGCCCCCTGCATCAGCCAGACCAGATTCATGGGCATGTGCATGACCGGTGTGTTCAGGAAGGTCTCCACATGCAAACCTGCAACCTTCCTGTGTAGTATGATTACTCCTGGACATTGTTTAGCTTCCATAACTTTTACTTATGTAATTTGATGTAAAAACAGCTCCTTGGGTCAAGTATTCTCTGCTGTCTTCTTAGACTGACGTCCTACAATTAGAACTAAAAAATTCTGAAGAGTTATCTTTAAGACTAATCTTGCAAAAAAGCCTTTTTATAAAAGAGTTTGTGTAAATATTTTTCTACCAGCTTTGAATGTGAACCTAAATCCCTACACTTGACAACAACAGACATTATTTTGAAATTTCAGTGGGATAAGTGTCATTTCCCTGAATTTTTGATGACTCCACAACTGTGGGTCACAGGTAGATTTTCATGGAGCTTTTCACCCTGGAATTACTTTTACCTTCCCAGGCATTTTACATGAACCAAACTGCAGTCCTAAATGGTTGAATCATGCTGTTCTTGTGGTTGGCTATGGTGTAATGCAAGAAGGATCAAATAACAATACATACTGGCTGGTCAAGAACAGGTATAAATTACCCAATATACTTATACTCAAAATCCCAAATGAAATGAATTCTCACTTACAATCAGTATTTGTATAGGTCCACAATGCTTGAGCACACTTTTGAAATCCAGTAGTGTTTAACCCATTTAGGTTAATCACAGAAATGATTTGATTCTAACATTAAGATGCTATCAAAGGGACCAGCAGTTAGTGTAATGACTATGTTGCTGGACTCCCATGTAGACGACCGCAGTTTGCTTCCTGGACCCGGTGGCTTAAACTCATGCCAGGCGCATGTGCGTGCGTGCCCAAGATCCTGAGAGGAGAATGGAGGAGAAAGGATTGCGGTGTGGCTATCCCCCCTGAGGGGTGATTTCTCGCTTTCTGTCTCTCTGTCTCTCTCTATCTGTCTGGCAAGTGCACGCGCCTTATAGCAAAAACCTCTCAAAAAAAAAAAGATGCTATCATAAACTTGCTAGATATTAAGATATGATCTGTGCATTGAATGTATAACTTGTGAAAACTTCCTTAATTCTGAAACACATCTGACTGGAAAGACATTCTATCCTTTGTCTGTCTCTGGTCACAAGGTTCTGTGAAAGGTCACTGCTTTGGAGTCAGGGATAAACATTACTAGATGTTATGTGCAGATTCAGACTCAACAATTTATGAAGGAGGAACAAGAACATTTGCCTCCCCTGATTCTTTCTATCAAGTCTGTGGCCTCTATTAAGCTATTTAAGTTAGGTATTGAAGCTAATGAAGTTTATTATAGTGTTTCTTTTTTCTTTCTATAAAACAAAAATCTGTTTTTCTTTCAGCTGGGGTGAACGGTGGGGCGTGGGTGGCTACATAATGATGGCCAAAGACAAGAACAACCACTGTGGAATCGCCTCAGATGCTCTCTATCCAATTGTGTGAGCTGATGGATGGTGACAAGGAAGGACTTGATGGGGCTGGCTTATCAGTGTACCAGAGGAGTAGTTTTGTTTTTATATTGACAAACCCAAAGTATGTGAGATGCCACACTCATTGAAGATCCAAGCGAGGATTTGATGATTTGAATTCTATGACATTTTTAGGCTGGTAAAATGTTACCACTATTTTAATTACTATTATTTGAACAGAATCCTAACCTGTTTCCTGGCTTTAAGATTTAAGCAAAGTTCCTTAGCATCTCTTTAATTTATTAAAGCTAAAACTGCTTTTTTGAAGTTAAAAAAATATATTTAAAAATACCTATTTAATGACCATATAAGCTATATAGCATCAGCCAGGTGCTACCTTATAGTATATTCATTCTACTCAGAGTTTCACACCTAAGGTCAGACATGTATTCACAGATACATATATATCAGCTGAACTTACTATTGAAAGTATTTAGATTATTTAAGAAATTTTGTGAATCAATAAAATGTGGGGAAAAAAAGAAATGGAAAACAGCTGTAGATACCTGAGATGGTGTAGGAGGAGGGTGGGTAATGGCAGAGGGCGAGGAATAGGGGAAAAATTATATATATGTATATATATAACAATGCTCAGGGATGAATGTAAATTAATTAATTAAAAAAATGTTTCAGGGACCAGCAGTTGGTGTAATGGCTATGTCACTGGACTCCCATGTAATTGACAGCATTTCGAGTCCTGGACCCGGTGGCTTAAACTCATGCTGGGTGTGTGTGTGTGCATGCCTTCAATTTATGAAGGAGGAACGAGGACATTTGCCTACCCTGAGAGAATGGAGGAGAAGGGATTGCGGTGCGGCCATCCCCCCGGGGAGTGACTTCTCGCTTTCTGTCTCTCTGTCTCTCTTCCTGGGGAGTGCACGTGCCTATAGCAAAAATCTTTTAAAAAAAGTCTCAGAAGAAAATTACAGTGAAGTTGTCACTAGCTTCTAGCTTTGTCCATATTTTTAATTTAAGGTATCTATCTTGTGAATCAATAAAATGTGGAAAAAAAATAAAAATCTCAACAAATAAATAGACAAATAAATGCTTTTTAAAATTATGCAAAAATAAATAGATATTATTCATTCACTTAATGATTTTGTATTTTTATTATTAAAAAGAATGTATAAAGTTTTAGCTATTAAAATAAAACTTAATTTGAAGTGTAGTGTGGGCTTTCTTTCCCTTTTTGTGTCATGAAATCTGTATTTGGAGTAAAGACCTCACTGAGAGTGGCAATGGTACATCAGGAGAAAGAGTGGGTGGCCTGTGGCTCTTCTAGTCATAAACATGCAGATTCTCTGACAGCTGCCCAGTGATTGGGTCTGACCCAGTCTATGACTGGAGCAAATTCAACATATGATGAGCACAAATAATTATAGTAATGAAGAAAAATACTACTTTTTATAAAAGTGACGAAACATACATAAAATTTTAATACTAGAAAAGGGCTTGAGAGATCATGTTTATTTTATCCAATGTGGTTACAACCCAATCAACTTACAAGACAAATGCATCAGGGCCAGATTCTGGAACTTCATCCCCAGCTGCTGGTGAAGACCCCATGACCACTTTGCAGTTGATGTTCCATAGGACATTGGTGAATGGCTAAGCCTGGCTTCTTTCAGTTCACAGGATTGAAGGGTCAACTTCTGGGATTGAGGCTTGGTCAAAACTGTTTCTCTGGCCTACAAGGTAAGAGTCATAATCTAGTGACTCCATTTAGATCTAGCTAATAAGCACCTAAGTTTATTTTATTTGTGAGAATTATTTATTAAACTTTATTTATTATTATTATTTTAAATTTGTTACAGGGCATGTGCACTTATGAGAGAGAGAGAGAGAGAGAGAGAGAGAGAGAGTGAGAAAGCAAGCTGCCAGGTCTGGGATTCGAGACACAGTCAAAAATGAGGGAATCCAGAACCCCAACCACCATGCCACTTGCTGGCTCTTCCTAAGGTTATTTTTAAAAAGAGAAAACTTAGCTAAAAAAGCACATAGTTCCATCACCTGTGTATTTTTAAAAGTCTCATTTTCCCCAGTGAAATAAGTGTAAAGAATAGGTGGAGGTTTTTAGTGAATGAACTCCAAAGTACCTGGGGAGGGAAATGAGGTGAACAGATGGGGTATCAGCCCACAAAACCTCTAGAAGTCTCTTTCCATGTCCACCTGGATTCAACCACAGGCCATTTGCTGGACTGTGAATTTTCCTAATAGTTGCTCAAATATCAAACTTTTTTTTAATCTAAAATGACTCATCTGGAACCTTGAGTGGAATGCTTGAATTTTGTAATGAAAGTGGTCAGAATAGCAGCAGGAAGACCTGGGAAATTTCTCAGCTAAATCCAGCTAGAATTAATGTAGCACCGCTATGTGCCAATCATGATCACCAGTGATGAGACCGTCCCTGACCTCAAGGAGTTGGTGCCGTTAGGGACCATGAGGACGTCAGGAAGGACTTTACAGAAGTGACATCAGCTATCAGCCATAAGAGCCAGTCAATAAGACAAGATGAGGTGGTGAGTCAGCAGAGACCAACCTATCAGCTCCCTTGAGGCACAAAACTGTAGAAAGAGACCCTGAGAGAAGTCATCAAGTTTAGATGTCAAGAGATGAGTTTGAGAGATTTGGGTTTTTAGGACAGAGTGAACCATTGGGGAATGCAGTGAGAAGATTGTTTCAGTATCAAATTCTATAAAACAAATGACATAAAACCTAGCAGCTTGAAGAAACATCTTGCATGTGTTCTAACTGTGCTCAGCTGCATGGTTTTGACTTAGAGGTTTCCACTTATGATGGAAACATCTCTAGGTTTGGCTGGCCTGGATGCCCTCAAGGACTCACTCATAGCTGGTCATAAACGATGATGCTGGCTGGTGATCAGGTCAGACTGCTGATCAGAGCAGCCAAAAGGACTTCTCAGTGGCTTCTTGGGCTTCTAAGTCATAAACAATATGTAGGGGAAAAAATTATCACATATTCATAGGGGCTTCAAAACTTTGTAGAACATGGAGCAAAAAGATAATAGTGTTTTTCCACAACTTTTTAAAGTCATCTCATGTACCCAGAAATACACACATTCACATATGTGTGTGTATACACATATGTGTATATATATGTGTGTGTATATATATGTACATAGATGTAATATTGATCAAGTTTATACACTAAATTTCACAGAAATTCAGGATAATTTCTATCTATAAATAACCTAATAAAGAAGACTTATCAAGAATGATGGTCTGTTTTCTCCAGGATTATAGTTTTTAAATTTCTTTCTTTTTTTTTTTGGAGAGGTTTTCGCTATATGGCGTGTGTGCTCGCCAGACAGACAGAGACATAGAGACAGAAAGCGAGAAATCACCCCCCAGGGGGGATGGTCACGCCGCAATCCCTTCTCCTCCATTCTCCGCTCGGGATCTTGGGCACGTACGCACGCACGCACACCCGGTGTGAGGTTTTTTTTTTTTTTTTTTTTTTAATTTTACAACGTTAATTTAATATTAGCATGTATCCATGCATTACTGTTTTAGTACTAATTTGTTTTAAGTTAGACCAGTTTAAAAAAATGTTATTTTAATATCATAAATGACACAGGTTCTTGAACAGAGCAATCAGAGTATAGTACAGACCTATGTCTCTAAGGCATTTAACAGAGTATACTTTAAACAAACTCCTGGTTTATTAAATCACATTAGTACAGATAAGAGAGTCTTTCTTTTCTTTCTTCACAGCCAATTAATAATCAATTATAGTCAATTAAAGAACACAGCATAGCAGTATAAATACAGAGAAATGAAAGGTGTGTACACCTGCAGGGTACAATCCCCTTTTATAGCTTTCTAGAGTGTTTGAATTAAAGGACAATTTAAAGCCCACTAACTACAGAACACAGAAAACACTCCTTTGATTTTAAGAAAAGGTATATTAACTTGCTGTAGCATGAAGCAACACACAGAACTGCTTGTCGGGGTGACTCTTATTTATTTATTTATTTTTTTAAAGTTTTAAGCCACCGGGTCCGGGACGCAAACCACGGTCGACTACGTGGGAGTCCAGCGACATAGCCATTACGCTAACTGCTGGTTCCCAAGTTTTTAAATTTCTTAATTCACGTGTTTAAAGAGTTTGTTTTATCATTTTTATACTTTCAACATATATTTCGCCAGGATCTTCTTTGAAGTGGTTCTGTCCTGGACTTGGGGACTTAATAAAGCAAATGGTCATACTGTCTCCCTATGGAGCCACATTCCCACGGAGGTGCAAGTAGATCCCAAAAGGCACAGATCATGTGCATATGCAGATTTGGTGAGGGCTCTGAAAGGCGAGCCCAGGGCACAATCCAAGCATGTATCATGGATGTAGCACCCTCTGGAGTTCAAGGAAGGTTCTGCACAAGTGCCATTTGATCTGAATTTTAAGAATTCATATAGTTCATGTCTTGGTCTGGATGTGAAGAAGTTTTTTTTTTTTTTTTTTTCGGCATATTACTCCAATTTTTAAATAATGGACCTTCATTGTTTTCATGAAATAACAGATTCAGAAATATGTAGTTGAATGAAATAAATGAATAAAGCATCGGTAAAGAAAAAGGGGGAGGAGAAGATTGAGAATTAGCAGGTACTGAGAAAACTTGACAAAGGCAGGCCTCCAAGTCTGGGCATTTGTGTTCTTGGGATTTGTACTGACACCTCCAGGCCTGTCCATTTACATGGCCCAGACAGACGATCTGCCACTGAGCAGTTGGCTATCGGTGTCATCCATGCTATTCTAGCAATACAAAGCCACCCTGAGGATGGTGGGCATTCAGTTACTTTCCAAGTAAAGACAAATAGGCAGAGGGCTTTGCTTGGCAAAGGCTAAAGGAGAGATAGACAATGAAGAGATATGTCTGGGACAGTAGTTTAATTGGACTGCTTTACTGAGAATGCATAATGGCTCTGGTCAAAATTCCAGAACATTCGTCACATTAGCTGGTCCCAATATCCCACAGCCATACACTCACTATATCGAAACAAGGACAATTTATTGAGAAATTAACAGAGACCCCTTTTTTAAATTTGCTTATCTATTTTTGGCTTTTTCTACATTCCA